ATGGATATATTTTTCCGATTACACAGACACCCGTGACGCTGTCTCTGGCACGAGAAATGACAGTGGTTATTAACAACAGCCTTCTACTTTCAAGCTATTCTTGAAAGCGGTTGTTAATTTTATGTGATGAAGCACAACCGATTCCTCATTCCACCAGTATGTGAGCAGTCAACGGTAAATAATTCAGTGGAGTAGTTCAGCCACCTTAATGTGCTGTTAAATCAACTTACTCCACCAACAAAACAGTAAAATGACAGTTCATACGCGCAAAAGATTTTTATCCTGGGCAACTCTGCGTCGTCCTACATGTATTTGCTTCCAGCCCTTTTTCAGGCGAGCCGCTAACCGTTATTTGCTTCCAGCCCTTTTTTAGGCGAGCCAATAATCTCTACCAGTCTTCTTTCAGACGAGAATGTTAGCAATAGGTATTCCTACGTAACCTCTGCCAGGCCTTTTTCAGCCGAGAATGTTACTACCTATTATACTTTTGTATACAGACCACAGGTTGCCTCAGTCGTTTTTTCGCAAGGTGTATCAAGTGTAGAATATTCACCTCAGTCTGTGATTGCCGGTCGGGTATCTTCCATCAACCCCCACCGTCGTGGACCTGTATAAGACGCTGGCCAGGACCCGAATTCACGTCCCTGGACTTTATCCTTTCCGGGAAAGGAGCTGTGCACAGGCTTCAGCGCAAGTTTCTCACGACGTCGGGACTTGATGAAAGATGCCGCTGTGAACTCCGGCTCGAAGGACCAATTAAATGTTAAGGATATCAACAATTATCAAACACTCAGGTGAAGAAACGACACTTAGACACTTGGAGAGAATTTTTAGCGTGCACGGGTGAGTGCTCAACAGAGAGACTCACACACAGCTGCAGGCGTTTTCTTTATTTAAAGCATAGATAGCAGTTCCTGTTTTTCATGTTCGTGTGTGTGTGTGTGTGTGTGTGCAGCAAGTCAGTTTCTAAGAATAATAAAGATAATGCGAGTCAAGCTCTGCGGATGTGTGGGTGCGGTGAAGCTCCTATCAGCTTCTGCAAATGTGTATTTCTGTGCTGATCTTATCACATGGCACACGCGGCTTGCAATTTCATGTTTATCAAGCTGAGCTGCACAGTGAAAATATGAACATTATCAGTATTGAAGTAAAACATAAAAACATTTAAACATTATTTCTTTGACAACTTCTTTGAGAAACTTAAAGAAGACGCTTTTCTTTCCAAGCTTCTTAGATTGAACATGAACAAAGGATTTGAGGAGCAGAAAAGTTTTTAAAGATCAATTAAACATATTAATAAATATTCTGATTATTTTATGTTATTTAGCTGTTTAGGTTATTTTTCTGTTTTCTGTCACACGTCTGCTCTCGTGTCGTTAACAACAGTGTATCAATGCATTCCTGTGGGTGGAGACAGAAACACACACCCAAAAAGAGCTCAGAGCAAGAATAAAAGAGGAGGAGACAGGATCAGAGTCGGACAGTGGAGCTTATTGTTGGTGCCTCTGTGTGAAGAAACTGTAAGTTTGCCTTGTTTCCTCCTTTAACAGTTTGTTTGTTTCTGTGATGTTTGGACCTGATGTTCTCCATTACACCGACACTCTCTCTCCCCTCTGTTCCATGTGTAACAGAGGGGAGAGAGTCTCTCACTCAGAGAACCAAGGTTACAATGTAACCACACGTTCAGCTCTTGTGTTTGAAGACAAATCCTCATGATTATAGATTATTGATTGGCTGGAATCAAACAGTTTGAAGAACATTTATTTGTGAGGTAGTTTCAGCTGCTGCTCACAAATCTGATAACAGGAACAAGTTAGTTCCACGAGGAAGACGTTCGTCTGGGCGCGTTGGCCTCGTTGGTCATGTGACCGTGTTACTGTTTGGGCTCAAACTGATACGAGTGGTTTAGCAGGTGTGACAGGACGATGCTGCACAGCCTCATTGTTCAGGTGTGAGTCAGACTCTGAGTCTTTACACAGTCCTGTTTAACAACATGTTGTTCCTGTTGATGCGTCACAGAGATCAGCTGTGCTAAACTCTGCTGCATGCAGCTACTAGTTTCTCTAGTTTGGTGACGGAAACATCGATGAGACTGTTTCCATCACCAAACATCATGAGGAACACCTCTGACTCTGATTCTGACTCTGTGCATAAAAACACAAATATCCCTTCATGTCTGTTCATCTGATTCTGTAATGTGAGAAACTTTGATGTCTGAGTTTTGTTCTATCATTAAAGTCCAGACTGGTAATTCTTAGAGGTTGGACTCAGCAGACGCTCCATAACACAACATCATCACAGTCCTTCACTTATGATTTCATATGATTGCAGTTTTGAGTGTTACAGTGATATGTTTTCATGTTGTTACAGGTCTCTGAGTGTCAGTGAAACCTGTCAGTTAAAACGAAGATCTTTCACTTCATTTCCCTCAGTGCGTTTCAAGACCTAGTGTCATGGTTGCTAGGCAACCTGACACTTTCTGATTTACATGCGTTCACTTCCTGTGTTGTGACATGTTAATTATCCTGAGCGCACACTGGGCAGGGAGACTCCGCCTCCATTAAAACCAACAAGATGTGGAAGTAGTGACGTTTTAGTTTAGTGCAGACGTGAGAGATGAGTGTCGTTACATTACTGTTCAGTTTGTGTTACAGCGTTTATTGTTCTCGCGTGTTATCAGACAGGATTATTTCAACGATCTCATGTTTATTTTATCCTCCTGTAACTTTATGAAAAGCTAAACTGTCAGCACTAGTTAGAGCGCAGCAGATTGATGAGACAGTGAAGAAGAGGTGAGCATGTGACAGAGCAGAGCCAGATTAAAGGAGCCATTATGGCTCAATAGAAGCTCTGAAGTCATACTGTGAACATGTCAGCACACATGACAGCTTCATCAACATGGAGCTCTGAGTGTTTATTAAAGGATGATTGGACGCTCTGACACAGCTGACTGCAGCCTTTAGCTGTGAGCACACAGTGTCTCACATTTACATTCACTTCACTGTCAAACACAATAACTTTAAACAGCTGCTGTTATCAAGTGAAGATAGCAAAGCTTTCAGGGCTGAACCCCAGTGTTTCAGGATAATGGCCCCAGATACCACTGTCAGATATGTGGGGAAGTATTTTAAGTTTAAAACTTCCTTTAAGCACTAACAGCAGAGACGCGCAAAGTCGCAGACAGGGAACAAAGTATTTTAGGTTTGTAAGGTCAGATTATTTAATCATTATACTGAACAAATATCTGAAAAAGTAAAAACCTCTATTCCCCAAATATCATGAGGTTATCACTGCATTGGCATGTCATCGATGTGTTCTTTCATACAGATCAGTTTTAGTGTGTGTGGCCCGTACCCTAAACCAGACTAAACTAAGACTTGTGCTTTTTATAAATAGTGAAGAAAATGCTTTGTGTTGTCATTAGAGACACATTAAACAAACTTTGCTTGTGTCAAGGTCTGCGGAGGCAGACCGTGCGGAAAGGTGTGTGGTGGACCCAGGTGCGAACACAAACGAGGATGCAGGAGTGGATTCCAACAAAACGAGCCTTTTATTATGGCTGATGAAAAGAACAAAAACAGAATGAGGGCAGCATACGTGTAGTACTCAACAGAAAACCTAAACTGGACAAAACTAAGGAAAGACTATGGCTGGAGGTACAGAACACAGG